CCTCCCAAGTAGCTGGGACCACAGGCGACCGCCACAACGCCTGGCTATTTTTTGGTTGCAGCCGTCATTGTTGTTTGGCGGGCCCAGGCTGGATTTGAACCCACCACCTTAGGTGTATGTGGCTGGTGCCTTAGCCGCTTGAGCCACAGGCACTGAGCCCAAAATATAGTTTTAATGCCAGTTATTGTTTATTGATCTTTTGCTATGCCAAGTAAGTACTTTCTGTATAATATGTGAGTTTAATCACTGTTGTTGTTACCTGAGTAGGTCTTACGATTCTCCTTTCACTGGTTGGAACACTGAGCCACAGAGGCGTTCTACCATTGTACCAGTACGAGTGGTTGGTCATGGAGACTTAGGGGGTGAAGGAGGAAGAGTTGGGAGAGTCGAGGGAGCAAGGGTGGGAACTGGAGGGGTGGGGAGAGAAGGGTCATTTGCCTGACTACTTGGCCCTCAGGCTTCATCTTCCCTGGGATAGCCCTGGGGCTCCAGAGTTGCACTTATCATAGGTAAGTGCTTTGGTGAGCTCTTGGGTTAGAGGTTAGGCAGGCCTGAGGCCCTGGTTTTGCCACTCATTAACTTGGTCAGATAACTTGGTTGCTCTGGGTTTCAGTTTTCTCATTTGTAAAATGGAGGTGACAGCATTACCTAGCCGACTGAATACCGTAATAATGTGTGTAAGCACAGCTCACACTGTCTGCTGCAGTATACGTTATTACTGTTATGAGGATGTGTATTTTGCCATGTTTAACGTGGAATTTTCGTTCAAAAGGAAAACAAGCAATGTTAGAGATCTGGTTAGAATCTTAACGTTGGCCATTGGAAATAGTTGTGAAATTCAGGGGTGCATCAGAATTACCAGGGGAACTAGTAAGAACACATAGGTTGGGAAGCTTTGAGTGGGGCTTGGGCATTAGGATGTAATATGCTTCCTTGTTGATTTACTTGTACACCAAAATTTGAGAACTGTTGGTTTACACCTTTTCTTCCTCCTGTGCTGAGGGAGGGCTTCAGTGAGAGTAACAGCAAATTGCTTGGATTAAGCAGGCAGTTTATGGTAGAAAGAAGCGAAATATCTGGTTACCAGTATCTCCTTGATTGTTTTTTTAAAGCTTATTTAGGGCTTTTATAGCATTTATATTGAGATGACAGTACTGTGTTAAATTTTACACCTCTACTAAATTGTAATGACTGTTTCAGCTTTTTAGCCAGCTTCCTTTGGAAGTGAGTTCTGTTTAATTTGTTAAGAGTTATGCAAATAGCAATGAGATATAAATGCTTGCTGATATAGATTTTAAGAGCTTTTAAAAACTTTTTAATTGGATTTTTTTTGAGGGCGCACTTTTAAATAATCAGACTTGGTATCACTAGTCTCATCAGGCAAAGTCCCAAAAGGAGAGATTCCATCCTTGA